CGATGCCAGGAGCCCCTAGTAGCGTCCTTGCTCCTAGTAGCGATGCCGGGAGCCCCTAGTAGCGTCCTTGCTCCTAGTAGCGATGCCAGGAGCCCCTACTGTAGTAGAAGTGTTCAAGCGGGGCCAAAGATTGGATGACAACCAATGACAGCTATACATTGACACTACCGAGTGCCGTATTCATCGCTTTTGGGGAAAAAACACCGAAAGAGTCAATCAGCGTATTCATAGCGGGTGTTGACTTGGACAGGCCGACTCATATTGAACGAGCTGAATGCTGTGGTCATTGATGAAGTTGACGCGCTCTTGAGCATGTCACGCAAGGACCACCTTTGATTTGATTTGGCCTGCCAGAATTTGCTAATGTCGTGAACACAGCCTCAAAAGTTATGAACATGTTCGGCCAAACGCAATGAGTTTACCAACATGTAGTTTGAAATTAACAACAACCAGTATTTATATATGACTTGAAGGAGTCAGGGCAAGAAAGACCAACTTCTGGATGCAGTACACAAATGGCCCTTATTGGTCCAAATGAGTGTCATGAAACATCGAAGACTAAACAATGTCATTTCTCCATGAATACATTCCATTGCTAGTTAATCAACTTGTCTTGTACGGAGAAACCGCGGAAACTAGAAAAGGTTGCGCCAACCTTGTGTCCGATTGCCCAAGCGAGGATATGTGATTATTGAGCAGAAGCCAGAATGAATTCCGCTATGTATCAGCTGCTAGGAAGATGACACATTGCCCCACTTACACAACTCTTCAACCGATGCCTCTGCCAGCAAGCAGTGGAATTCTTCTAACTGAACCAAGAGACTTGGCCCCGCAGTCCTCCATTAGGTTGACTTGGGGATTGCCGTGCATGCTAGGGAAAAAACAATAAATCCTTGACAAAACCAAGGCAATGATCAAGCAAAGAAGCACAATGCCCGAATCGAAAACTTCCTAGTAACAAGGAAGCTACTAGGAGCAAAGGGCATCGCTACTAGGAGCAAGGACGCCATTAGGGGCTCCTGGCCTTACTACTAGGAACAAGAAGCTACAAGTAACAAGGAAGCAAGTAACATACAGAGTATTTCAAGAGGGCCACGAGTCGTGGAGCGGAGAGCAATCTTTTGCTAGAAGCACAGAAACAATCTGTGGATGGAGCCCCTGGTAGCGTCCTTGCTCCTAGTAAGGTCCTAGTAGCGTTGATGGTTGCACATTGGGCGACATGGAATACCATGCAAGCTACACGTAGGAGTCCACATTGTTAAATTATGACTGTTTATCAGCTTTGTGACTGTCATAAAGCAGGAAAAGGAGACGTGTATGATTTCACGGTGGAGCCACAATGGCAAAGGAATGCAATGAGATGCTGCAAAGTCTTGAAAGAAAGCTGACACTTGGAAGACTACCTCAATAATCGCAGGATAGTCGAGGGAGTGGCAAAGACTGCCAATTTGTTCTTGAGCATGTTTGTTTGGAGATAATTTCAGGTGCTTGTTCCGGACGGATTTGGGGTTCCAAGAGCGTAGATGCCTAAAGGCTCCCATCTCAATATTACTGTAGACCTGTCTTCCTTTTCTTTTGTCTTTGTTTCTAATAACGATGGCCCCCCAACCTAATAGCGACGGCCTCCAACCTAGCAGCGATGGCCTCCATTCTAGATATGAAAACAACACCGCTGGCAAACCAGGACGTTATTTTACTCGCGCACGAATTAATTGCAGTTTCTCGCACTTAAGACATCGGCGCTTTTAACTTTTTACTTAGTTAGGACCATGTTCAGCTCCTTCTTCAGCACCTGGGAATCAACGACCAAGCTCAGCCCAAACCTTAAAAGCTCGCATATATATTCAAAGTCCTACTATCCTGCTCTTCTGAAAAAGCATTCCTTAGAGCTCTTCATCATTTACAGCCACACACCCCATGACACTGCTCTGGCACTGATCAGCATGAAGAATTTCTTCTTCGCACAGAATTTAGGCGCATCCTTGTCTCTGCCAGTGGGTCAATGGAAGGTGATGCTTTGGGCTTCGCAGAGGTTGGGAGACCGATTTAATGCGTTGCAGACATACAAACGTCCTTTGAACGCCCTAGCTCTTGCAGGCAATCTTAAGAGATGGTTGGAAGCTTGTGGGTCCGTGCAAGCCTGAGCAACACAACGACGCCGGGTGGCCACGTGTCAAAAGTCCCTTCAAGGCGACATCGCATGGAGTTGCCGAAGCGCGCCCGAACCTTGAACAACATTTGGCATCGCACCTTCAAAGCTGAAACCGCTTGAACCTCAAGTTTTCACAGATCATTTGATTCTAAGGTGCTTCACCTGGTCAACGGGGCTCCGGAAGCTCCTGCGAGTTTATACTGAAGATTTGAAGATGCAGATATAGACATAGATTTATTTGAGGCGTTTTCGAGACTTGAACTCCAGCATGCGTTCTAAGGATGTGACAAAAAAGTTGGCCTTCATCCAGCAAGCCAGACCTGTTTATAGCCCTTACTTTCTTGCTCCGCTTCTTTGCGAAGCTGCCTGTCACACAGAGGCGCTTGTCTACATCAGATCCAGAAGTCAACAGCATGATTGTGCCTGAGCCTGTGGGCAAGGAAATTGCTGTTTTCATAAGTTTTCATACTTATACTTATACAATAACAAAGCTTGGCGTGCCCCATAGATCTCTCCTTTCTTGCAATTGAACCCATGCTGTCCAGGTTTTGCAACAACCATGAGCGTGTCAGAAAGGTGGACATGGGTTTTCCATGGAGCTTGCTTGACAAATTGCATCATTTTGGGGGTTCAGAGCCTTCCTGAACACAAAGAGTGCAGGTGGCAGAGCAATTGAATGAGCGCAACATCCTGACAGACTTCCTGACAGGAAATAGATCCAAGGCGGAACAGCTTCTGTCTTTGTGCAGCGCTCTCTAATTGTGCCGTTTCATGCAAACTAAAAGAGAATATATATATATATACAGAAAGGGACAGCAATTCTTTTTGAAGGGCTGATCCCAAAGATCTAGCAAAGTGTACAAAAGTAGAAGCTGGATCGGTAGAAAAAAAGGGACGCTGTCCCTCTAAAAAAATCAAACTTATCTAATAAAAATATCCATAAGGTGTCGCAAACTGGGAGCATTTGACAAAGGCTGGGAGGGGGGGTCGACCAAAAAATAGATATAAAATGGGCCACCCCCTCCTCCAAATTAGGAGCCTTTGGCAAAGGCTGACAAGTCTAGTAGAACAGAGTGAAACAGATGCTTTTTCTTCCAACAATTGTATAATTTTTACAATTTTTTGGAATGTATACAACCTACTTTAAACTAAAGCATTCTGATATATTACAGTATAGTGTGTTAAGATTGATGCTTTTACCATCAAGGATGAAGATGAAAAGAACCCAAGGCAGTGGCTTTCATTACTAAGATTGGAGGCTGGAGAGTGAGCAAGTATGTGGATATTAAATAACCTAATTAACTTTACCAAGTTGTAGAAGATCAAGCTGTAGAAATACCAACATCTAAAGATAAAGAAATTCAACATGATGAGTATGATACTGATACTGATGATATTGTTAGTAAAATTGAGAAAGTGAACCAGGACATGATTAGGGTGTTACTTGTAGGAACCATCAAAAGTCATATCTGCCAGAAGATGGTTGAAAATGGTTACGCAATACTTTTTGTATGCCCTACTAATAGGTTATCACACTAATTTGAAGTTGATGCCAGAACAATGAACAACAAACAACAATATTGTTGGTATAAGTTTTGGTGATGTTTAAATGAAACCATTTGATTATTCAGAATTTGATGTCATAGCAATTGATCAAATCTGTTTCATCGATTTTGAGTGTTTATTGCAAAGCCACATAGTTTATTTAGCAATATTTTTTTGCAACACGTGATACCAAACAACTCAAACCAGTTCTTGAGCTGACAAATAGGTATATCAAAGAGCTTCTTTTGCAGCACCATTTTTTGGAATGTATAAAACCTACTTTAAACTGAAGCATGCTGGTATTACAGTACAGTGTGTTAAGATTGATGCTTCCACCATCAAGGCTCAAGAAGAAGATAACCCAAGGGAGTGGCTTTTATTAATAAGATTGGAGGCTGGAGAGTGAGCAAGTATGTGGATATCAAATAACCCAATGAACTTCCAAGTTGTAGAAGATCAAGCTGTAGAAATACCAACATCTAAAGATAAAGAAATTCAACATGATGAGTATGATACGGATACTGATGATCAAAGGAAGTTTAGTGTGCAAAACTTCCGTGTTACGGACATTCAACAGCTGTTCAATACAGCACTCATCATACACCACTCATCATACACCACTCATCATACACCATCATACACCACTCATCATACACCACTCATCATACACCACTCATCATACACCACTCATCACACACCACTCATCATACACCACTTATCATACACCCCTCATCATACACCGCTCATCATACACCACTCATCATACACCACTCATCATACACCACTCATCACACACCACTCATCATACACCACTTATCATACACCACTGGTGAGATGACTCAGATTTCCTGGCAGGCGCAGCACTTTGTGAACCTCCAGGTGCAGATTTCGTGGCAGGCGCAGCACTTTGTGAACCTCCATGTGCAGATTTCGTGGCAGGCACAGCACTTTGTGAACCTCCAGGTGCAGATTTCGTGGCAGGCGCAATACAAAATGCGTTTTGGAGAGATAGCGGACGCACGAAATGCTGCATTTTTCAATGGAACCGGTGGCTCCAAACCTGGCAAGTCTAGCTCTGCGGAACGACGGGTGCGAGACGGTCTCGGGTCATTCTCGGATCATGCTCGGGCATGGTCGGAATCGTCCCTCCATTGGGATTAGAGTTTTCACTTGTTTCTTGAAGTGCAGATTTCGTGGCAGGCACAGCACTTTGTGAACCTCCATGTCCAGATTTCGTGGCAGGTGCAGCACTTTGCGAACGTCCATGTGCAGATTTCGTGGCAGGCGCAACACTTTGTGAACCTCGAGGTGCCGATTTCGCGGCAGGCGCAGCACTTTGTGAACGTCCATGCGCAGATTGCAGATTTCGTGGCAGGCACAGCACATTGTGAACCTCCAGGTGCAGATTCGTGGCAGGCGCAGCACTTCGTGGAGCTCCATGTGCAGATTTCGTGGCAGGTGCAGCACTTTGTGACCCTCCAGGTGCAGATTTCGTGGCAGGCGCAACACTTTGTGTGAACCTCCATGTGCAGATTTCGTGGCAGGTGCAGCACTTTGTGAACGTCCATGTGCAGATTTCGTGGCAGGCGCAGCACTTTGTGAACCTCCAGGTGCAGATTTCGGGGCAGGCGCAGCACTTTGTGAACCTCCATGTGCAGATTTCGTGGCAGGCACAGCACTTTGTGAACCTCCAGGTGTAGATTTCGTGGCAGGCCCAATACAAAATGCGTTTTGGAGAGATAGCGGACGCGCGAAATGCGAGTCTAGCTCTGCGGAAGGATGGGTGCGAGACGGTCTCGGGTCATTCTCGCATCATGCTCGGATCATGGTCGGGCATGGTCGGAATCGTCCCTCCATTGGGATTAGAGTTTTCACTTGTTTCTTGAAGTGCAGATTTCGCGGCAGGCATAGCACTTTGTGAACCTCCATGTCCAGATTTCGTGGCAGGTGCAGCACTTTGTGAACGTCCATGTGCAGATTTCGTGGCAGGCGCAACACTTTGTGAACCTCGACGCGCAGATTTCGTGACTTCGAGGTGCAGATTTCGTGGCAGGCACAGCACTTTGTGAACCTCCATGTGCAGAATTCGTGGCAGGTGCAGCACTTTGTGAACCTCCAGGTGCAGATTTCGTGGCAGGCACAGCACTTTGCGAACCTCCATGTGCAGATTTCGTAGCAGGCACAGCACTTTGTGAACCTCCATGTGCAGATTTCGTGGCAGGCGCAGCGCTTTGTGAACCTCCATGTGGAGGTTTCGTGGCAGGCACTGCTGAGAACTGGCGACTTTCTAGTACAACTTTAGTACGCGGAGCAATCTGTAGAGCTGGAAGCTGAGAACTGGCGATTTTCTAGTACAACTTTAGTACGCGGAGCAATCTGTAGAGCTGGAAGCTGAGAACTGGCGACTTTGTAGTACAACTTTAGTACGCGGAGCAATCTGTAGAGCTGGAAGCTGAGAACTGGCAACTTTTTAGTACAACTTTAGTACGCGGAGCAATCTGTAGAGCTGGAATTTAGCGGAGTGACTCTGGAGACTGGCTTTCACAGACTGGAGCCTCCAGTTCGTATCAAAGTTGAGGAGATGCCATTCCGAACTGATGGAACCTACGACACCGACACTCTGCTGCGTCATGTCGGACGTCACCCCGACGACGTTGCTGGAAATGTATAGCTACATTTGCTCCGACGCGCGGTGCTGTGACCCGCGTCATGTCGCCACTTTCGTAGCTACAGAACCGCCCCAGCTGCCCGTTGTTCCACCTCGTCCAGCCCCTGCCAGAGCTACTGGGCCACCCGGTCCTTGCCTTTGCCGGGAGGCATCGATCTGCGTGCGTCGCTGTGGACCGCGCAGACCGCCGGGAAATGCGCTCGCCTTGCCCCGGCGAGGAACAGTTTCGCTGTTTTTGACTTTGAAAACACCTCCCACTTCGCGCGCTCGCAGGAACTGCACTTAACTTTCGATTGCAGCTGCCCAGTTGCTTCAGCACGCCGGTGTGGGCTGCTGATCTTGCTTTGCCATAGACACAACCCAGTACGCTGTTGTGAGCTGCTGATCCTGCAGGAAGCACAGACCTTGCACAGGTGGCACTGTGTTGATCAAAAGTCCGGAGTGCGTTTGACTGGCGGACGCGCGTGTTTGAGAGAACCGGAACACTCCTATAGGTCAATAATTTGTTCTTATAGGAAACTTCCGCCGCCGGCTTGCCCGGGAACTGCTTGTATTGTTAGTAAAATTGAGAAAGTGAACCAGGTCACGATTAGGATATTACTCGCAGAAGTAAGCAAAAGTCATATCTGCCAGAAAATGGTAGATGTTTGGTATAAGCTTTGGCAACTGAGTGTTTATTGGAAGGCCAAATCGTTTGTTGAGCAATATGTTTTTGCCACACGTGATACCAGACAACTAAAATAAGTTCATGAGCTGGCAAATGCCAAAGATTATGACACAATATGCTGATGCAATGATTGACAATATGTTTGAGCATAAAGTGTTACTGAAAGTATAGAACAGATTGAACACAGAAGAGGATGAACAAACGCTAAACAATATCAAGAAATATATACATATATATACTTGTAAACTCCCAAAACTAAACTAATTGAGAAATATTATGTCGTCAACATACAACATAGCATGTTTGAATAAGACCTATAAACAATCATATAAATCATCTGTTTGGGTCCAAAAAACACTAAAACCACTAAAAACCACATATTTTGGGGGACCTGGTGGCGTCCCACTCTCTCTCTCTCTCTAATTCCTGTCGCTCCGAGACGGACAACGCACCAGGATAGTGCCAGAATGCTGCGTCGGATTGATTCATTCCTTCATTCACAGTTGAACCCAACATGCCACGTCACCTTTGTTGGGTCCATGTTGAGGTCAACTTGGCCTATGTCGGGCCCAAACGGGCCCCACTTGCTCCATGTTTGGCCAATGTGGGCCCAAGTGGACGGCAAGTAGCTTTAAGTTGAGGGCCACTTGACACCAACTGGCCGTTTGGGGCTGCAGTTGGGCCCAACATGACGCACCTTGGGTCTGTTTGGGTTCAACCTGGGCCTAAGTTGACGCTAACATGAACTCATGTTCCCTGAGGCTCAAACCGGATTGTTGGTGGTCACATGCGGGAAAGAAGCGCCGCAAAATAGGCACTATTGGATGCTCCAGGGCAACACTTTCAAAGCGTGAGCTCATGTAGCGTGGGCTTGCAGCTGCCAGAGCCAGCAGCAAAGCCGGTTTGTGGGTCTCTCTGCTTCCCCCCGCCTGGCCGCCTGGCCTGGGCACTGCTCCGAGATGGCGTGGCTGGCCCCTCCATGGGGTCGGTGGTGCGGGTTGGGGAAGCTCGCCGGACGACAGGCGCTTCCTCTAGCTGCTCGTCCGGCAAGGGTCTTCTGTCCCTGATACTGTTCGCCATTGGCTTGGAAGGCGCGATGGGCGTTCCACAGACTGACGTTTCTCTGAAAGTGGACTTCTCCAACAACTTCAACACGGTTGACAGGGCAGCAGTATTCTGAGAGAGGCCCTTTTTTGCGGGAGCCGCTGACTTCCGAAGCTGGCGTGCAGCACGGGATCCACTTGGACCCCTTCTGGCTTAGCCTTCAAACCAGCCTTGCGCGCTGTGCTCTCTGCCCCCGCTGACCAACAGCAACCGGCCATAGCCGTCGTCGCCAAGTTGGATGATGTTTGCTGGGCTGGCGACTACCAGGCAGTCAGCGCTGGCTTGGGCCGCTTGTCGGCAGCAGCCTGGCAGACAAGTTAACCCACAGAAACGTGAACCAGTGGTTGTACTGCAGATGCGGCACTGGACCTCCGGTTTTTCCCTCCGAACATCCAACTTACCACTTGCAGCTTAGTGTGTTGGGGGCCCCACTAACAACGCTGTTTTGACTCATGTGGGGGGCGCGGCCGTGATGGAGGCCATAGCTGCACTCCTCAACCCACAGACAGGATTGCTGCTCTTGAGAAATTGCGCTTACACTAGGTGGGCTTGATGCAAGTTGATGCCGACGCGCGGCGGCGCTTGGAAGTCTTTGCGCTGGCCCTGTGGATGCCCAGTTGGTTCCAGTTGATATGAGGCTGCCACTTCTTGTTTTCGGTGCCTCTAAGCCTCCGACAACAGCAGTTGGACCAAGCTGTGGCTGCCAACAACCGACTCGAGCGCATCGCGTCAGAAGCTTGCGCTGCCGAAGGCTTACAGCGGAGGCTTGTGGGGGGGGGCTGGGGGGGCTGGGCCCTCTTGCTGTGAAGACATTGGCTGGTCTGATCACAGCCCGGAGCGGTGAACCTGCGTCTTGAGGTTCAGCGGCTGCTGCAGTCGCTCTCCATCACCTGCCCCATAATCTGCCAACTTTTCCGGCTAGGGTTGTTTGGGGTTTGCCTTTTCTGGCGGGTAGCAGTGTAGCAGTGTTGCTTCCTGGGGTCTATTTGGCCCAAGTTGGTCTGAAGTCTTAAGTGGGCCCAAGTTGAGCCGAAGTTAGGGCCAACTTAGGTCAAATTGGGACCATCTTGGGCCAAGTTGACCCCAAGATGAGGCTATGTTGCTAAGCTAACTGAGCAGCACTACACTATTATGCCGGTGTTACAACACGAGTTTGCTGCGTCCCAGCACCTTCCGCGCGGCAAAGGTCTTGCCAAACAAGCGACAGTGCATTGACCTGCAGTGCAAAAAAACGTTTTTGAGCCACAGGAAGCTCGTGACAAAGCCATCAGCAACTTTGCAACAAATGAGGACGGGAAAACTTTGAAGATTTATGATGAAAATCTGAAGATGTTTTTGCCGCTGTGAGGTTCAAGCTCTTGTGGCTACCGTTCTTCGCTTAAATTTAATATTTCCGACAGCGTATGTTCAAACTCAAACTGTTCGTGATTCCAATTTTCAGGATGCTGCTATGCGAGGTTTGGACTTCAGGCAAATGCCAAGCGAATTTGTTCACCGAAGCAATGAAAATTACTTTGCCGCAAGGGATGTGACTCACGTGGTGAACTTTGAATTGCCTGGTGATGACGGGCACTTGGATACTTGCAACCGGATTGTCTGATTTCCTGACTTGCTCAGCAGTGATCAGCATTCGTTGTGAAACCATAGTGTTCCCCACTGGAACTGGATCTGGAACTCCCCCCCACCCCAAAAAGAATCGCCACCACGTTTGGAACTGGAACTGGAACACCCTCCTACCCCCCACCAAAAAAAACGTACTATATAGGTGAATTTTGAATTGCCCCGATGATTGGAACTAGAACTGGATCTGGAAGTGGAACACCCCCCCCACCCCCAAAAAATCGCAACTACGTTTGGAACTAGAACTGGAACTGGAACTAGCGAACCTGTTCGTATCCGCTGCGCGTCCATGCCACGCTGTTCCGTGTATTGATGCTTGTTTTCTTCCCACCGTCCGCTTCACCCACAGATGCAAACCACATGTGCTTGTTATCCGACCGCCTGCGAAGTCCACACATGCCCTGGGTCATTATGGTTGCAAGGCCTTGTTTTTCCTCTCCATCGAAAGAAACATGTATCATGTGGTGCAGTCTGAATGCTCTCGAGCATCGAGCAGAGGGGAGAAACATGTTACATGGCATGACCAAGTAAAGTCGCCCGACCAAAAAACCTGTTGAGGACAGAAACCAAGTGTCAAAGCTAGGCATTTTTTTTAGAATAAGAAATACATGCGAGCGTCTAGGTCTGGATCTGGAACTGGAACTAGAACTGGACCCTCCCCGGACCACTGTGATCTGGAACTGGAACTGGAACTACCCCCCCCTGGCCACTCTCGCCATGATCTGGAACTGGAACTGACCCGCCGTTTGATAACTCTCACCATGGATCTGGATCTGGAACTGGAACTGAGTCCCCCCCTGACCACTCTCAAATTGGATCTGGAACTGGAACTGTTCCAACCACCTGGGGCACACTCTGTGTGAAATGGTTTGTGCAACCTATTTTGTGTTTCCAGGGCTGCTTGACAGGCCCTGAATCCTAAGAATGCTCAGGCCGCCACATATGCACATCGTGCTGGCCGCTGTGGTCGAATGGGCTGCTTGACTTCTTTGAAGTGTGTTGTTGCTACGCAGGAACGAACCAGCTCATCTTAGTTGAGAGATCCAGTGCGGCAAGTTTTTTGAAGGCTACAATGGCATTGTGATAAGCCTGGCATCTGGTGGTTACATGAACAAGAGGCGATGCGGAAGGGTAGACAGAGTTCTGTCAAACAACAGATGGTTTGAAACGTTCACATCCTTCAGCCGGATCGCTTTTGGCCAGGCTTCGCAGCTACTCTCGTGCTCTCGACTTTGAGCTGATCGAGGCTAACGTGAATGACGGAGAGCTTGGGGTATTGAGCCGAGTCAGTTGTTGCTTTCCTGAGCAGCGAAACTTTAAGAACAATGTACCAAGGCAGACCTGGGCATGATGTACGGTGGGACGCTGAAGTGATCAAAGTGAGCATCAAGAAAGGGAACACTCCAAAGTCATTCCTGTGTTTTTGCCTGTTAAGGTCCCGAGAAACGAAAGCGATGATGATTAGATGAAAAAGAAACCATTGAGTCAAGACGTGTTCGGGCCTGAAGGAGGAAAAGGAAACATGCCACAAAATTTGATGAACCATTCTTTGTATTGGTGTATCAGATATCAAGTTGCCTTACTATGCCCCACCTATCGACTGGTAGGGTAGTATGCAGACTATCATGTTTTTCAATGTTTCAGTTATCTGATTGAGCTAGGGCTAGATGATACGATACCGTAGCTCACTTTGCCCTTTTGAACCTTCCCAGTCCGCAACGGTGTTGACAGTAATTTGTTCCCATGCTCTGTTTATTCGGTCCTTGTGAAGAGCCACCATGTTCCCAAGATCGTATAGGCTGAAAGGGGTGCACCCGCCAAACACCTTCAGGCATTGGTGTACTGCTGATGGTTCAAGATTCTTGATTGGTGTGAAAACATGCTGGGTTGCTGCCCACACTCATGAATCATGAAATGCATGAATTTACCCAGTTGCGTCCGAACTCACCGTCACTTATTACTTTTTGTGATATAAACTTTGAAATAGATTCCGATTAACTATTATCAAGTACTCGGGGACTTGGCAGGGGGCATGTTGGTGTCAAACGCAGCTGCTAGGCTGCGAGGAAGAGTGAATTTGCGCTTCAGCCAGCGCTTAAAGACCCCGAGTCAAGTCTACTGCAAAAACGACGATGGCCAATGCTGACTGTAGCGGCTTTGAGTCAATCGCCAAATCCAGCTCCGCTACGCGTTGAGCACTCCGTCTACTGAGCAAAAACATCACCAATCTTTTGTGACTTTTGTGACTTCTTCAGCAAAAGCATCAACCTTCTGATGTTCACAACCTGGCTTTGTGAGTCCAGACTGTGACTTCTGGTGTTGTTCGGTGATTCGGAAGCCCCCAGCCCTTAGTTGACTTTTATCAGTTTTTCCCAACGACATCATATTCAGCAATAGGGTGTGACATTCCCAGAATGTTTGGTGCAGTGCTGGCCAGTAGTTATCAAGCTCGAGCAATCCTCCTGTCCTAGCCATGTGCGCGACGTGAACCAACACCAGCCAAGCACGTGTTGAGAAGCCAGCCCAGGACTTTTGAGCGAACATCAACAAAATGCGTGCAAATCAACGCATGCACACAGTTCCGCACATGTGTAATTTGAGTACTTATATAATTACATATAATTAGTTATGTAAGAGAGGTCACTGGACAGCGGTAAACAAAGGGCGCACAGCTTGGCACACAGCGAGCGCAACTTAGACATGTGTGTGTGTGTGACTGAACACATGTGATCAACATGCATGTATTGATGCTTCTTTGAAGCTACAGGAACCATGCGAACTTGACAATCTACGGTGCACGCACAGTATTACCAGGAGGTTTAGGTTCTTCACTGATAAAAAGGGGTGCTTGTTGGGTCAAATGAACGTGTTTATTTTGCGTGTCGCTGGCGCACATGAACCGGGCAACCTTGTCACAGAAAAGTTTGATAAGAAAGCTCCGAGCTGCATAAAGTGGATGAGTGCAGGGATGAGTGCATACCGCGTGCAAAATAGGAAGCAACAATAGAGTTGCCCGGGATGGAAAGGTTACAGTACAGGGAACCTGCAGGAATCTCATGCGACTGGTGGGAGAGGCGTTGGCCTGTACCTTGAAGTTTCCGGTAGTAGAGAGAGCTCCTTAAAGTTTGTCACAACAATACGGCAATGAACAGCATGTTCACTCTTAGCAATTGTTCTTTGAGCTTGTGTTTGCAAAGCTTCACTCTTAGGCACCATAGAAGGCAACCATAGCCGTGCAAATGCTTGTTTTAGAGACAGGTTCCCTCAGTCACGATTGTTTCAGGCCGAAAAAGGGAACCAAGAGTGTCAAAACCACTCAAGCCACCCAATGATGCTGCGGGATTTCATGACCTTTTGCAAAAGTATATCGTACATGTTTGCAACATATATTATATTAAAATATAATCTTCAACTTGAAGGTCACAACAAGCATGCGAGGTCTGAAACAAATCTATTTGTGTCTTCCTAATTCTTTTTCAAAACAAGTCTGTTCGCAGCTCATCGCAGCTCATCGCAGCTCATCGCAGCTCATCGGCTCACCAAAGGCCAAGGTCGCTCTTGGCCGTTTAGCTTTTGCCTCATGGTTTGCACACTTGCACAGGCGCAGTCGGAGACTGAGCTTGGAAAAGACGGTGTCAACAGATATATGCATATATATATAAAGTACTGTACATCATTATATGGATACCACATAGAGTCAACATATAGATAGCATCAAATTAATGTCATTGAATATCGACAGCAAGTTGGCACTCGTCGTACGTAATTATATACTGTTGAAGGTATCCAGCATGTATTCAACTGTAGTAGAATTATACAATGTCAGTGACTAAACACAATGCTTTTGTTCGTTTGGGGAATGCACAGCCCAGGTGCTCTCATCAGTGTGCTCTCCTAAATATGTGTGCTTGGACGTGTATGCTCTCACGCGTGTGCTCTAAGGTGTGGAAGTTTGCTTTGTTTACCCTTGACTTGTTCTACGCAACACCATTTGGGGTCTCTTGCTGGGATAACGTTACTGTTTTTCAGAAACCAGCGCTGTGAGCGTGTGTATCTTTCAGTGTTTCTTATGCAGAGGAAAATCTAAAAGTCTTAAGTATTTCCTATGCACGGGAGAATATGTGAATACCAAAAATACCAAAAATACCAAAGACCTAGAGGAAATACAAAAAATACAAAAAATACCCAAGACCTGGAAGAAATATGAAGAAATACCAAAAATTCCAAAGACCTAGAGGAAATACCACTCAGGTGGCCTATATGTCTCCAGAGGATTGGTATTTTTCCCGAATGCGTAGCAAAGGGTTCCCGTTTATAGTTGGGGGTCTGGGGGTTGGAGCTATGTTTGCATGGCTTGCGTCGGCTCGTCGTTTGTCGTCGTCTCTCGTCGTTTGTCGTCGTCGTCGCATCTCAAATTTGCTGCCATTGGGGGAAGCTTTTGCAAGTGACTTTTCATGGACGTGTCACGTGTCAGTTTGCGCCGCTATTACATTGTGATTTGCAGGACCATGACATGTCGCGCAAGAAACACGATGCATTTCGCTGCACAGGCGCAGCGTTTTGTGAGATCCACAGTTTGCTGCGCAGTTCCATTGGGATTAGCGTTTGGAGAGTCGTGTTTTTGGGGTGTTGGATGTGGCCGTGCCATTGGGATTTGCGTTTCAGGGTGTGGCATCGAAGCTCTGTTTTCGTGACAAGTCTCAGCTGAAATGGCGATTTTGCTGGATGGGCGTGTGCGCAGAATGGGTGGAAATCATTCCACATGTGTGGTGTGGTGCAAATTCTCTTGAAGCTCATATGAGATGATATTGTCACTTTTCGTGGCAGGCGCAGGATTTGAGGCGTGGAAGCGCGATTCTCGTGGCAGGCGCAGGGAATCGTGAGGTTGCGAGGTGTGACGGAGGTGACATTTCGTGGCAGGCGCAGTACTTTGTGCGCGTTAGACGTGTGAACGCGGAAAGATTCGTGGCAGGCGCAGGGATTCGTGAGGTTGTGAGTTGTGGTAGAGGTGAATGTCGCTGTCACTTGGGATTGGCGTGTGAGCGGATGTTGTTTGGAGGGGCTGGAATCGGGAAACTGCTTGACAGGGCTGCGTGATGTGTGTGCTCCGATGGATGTTTCCGCTTGACTTTTGGAGGAAGTCTCGTACGAAACGCTCGTTTTGCAGACTTTGACGTGTGAGTTTTTGAGGAAGTCTCGTACGAAACGCTCGTTTTGGAGACTTGACGCGCAACCCTCTGCGGAGATCGTGCGTGTCGAGTGCGCGAAATGCAGGCGAGAGTGCGATTTGTCCCATGCGCGCGCAACCCTCTGCGGAGATCGTGCGTGTCGAGTGCGCGAAATGCAGGCGAGAGTGCGATTTGTCCGGTGCCCGCACCACCCTCTGCGGAGATCGTGCGTGTCGATTGCGCGAAATGCAGGCGAGAGTGCGATTTGTCCGGTGCCCGCGCAACCCTCTGCGGAGATCGCGCGTGTCGAGCGCGCGAAATGCAGGCGAGCACTGGCGACTTTGTAGTGCAACTTTAGTACGCGGAGTATCTGGGGAGCTGGAAGATGAGAACTGGTGACTTGGTAGTACAACTTTAGTACGCGGAGCAATCTGTGGAACTGGAAGCTGAGAACTGGCGACTTTGTAGTACAACTTTAGTGCGTGGAGCAATCTGTGGAGGTGGAAGGTGAGAACTGGCGACCTTGTAGTTCAACTTTAGTACGCGGAGTGTCTGGGGAGCTGGAAGAGTGTCCCACAAGAGTGTCCTACAAGAGTGCCCCACAAGAGTTTCCTACAAGAGTGTCCCACAAGAGTTTCCTACAAGAGTGTCCCACAAGAGTATCCTACAAGAGTGTCCTACAAGAGTGTCCCACAAGAGTGTCCCAAAAAGAGTGTCGCACAAGAGTGTCCCACAAGAGTGTCCCACAAGAGTGTCCCGCAACAGTGTCGCTCAAGAGTGTCTCACAAGAGTGTCCCAAAAGAGTTTCCTGCAAGAGTGACCCACAAGAGTGTCCTACAAGAGTGTCCTACAAGAGTGTCCCACAAGAGTGTCGCACAAGAGTGTCCCACAAGAGTGTCTCACAAGAGTGTCCCGCAACAGTGTCGCTCCAGAGTGTCTCACAAGAGTGTCCCTTAAGAGTTTCCTACAAGAGTGACCCACAAGAGTGTCCTACAAGAGTGTCCTACAAGAGTGTCCCACAAGAGTGTCCCACAAGAGTGTCCTACAAGAGTGTCCCACAAGAGTGTCCTACAAGAGTGTCCCACAAGAGTGTCCCACAAGAGTGTCCTTTTAGAGTGTCCCACAAGGGTGTCCTACAAGAGTGTCCCACAAGAGTTTCCTACAAGAGTGTCGTGTAAGAGTGTCCCACAAGAGTGTCCTGCAAGTGACCCACAAGAGTGTCCTACAAGAGTGTCTCACAAGAGTGCCCCACAAGGGTGTCCTACAAGAGTGTCCCACAAGAGTGTCCTACAAGAGTGTCCCACAAGAGTGCCCCGCAAGTGTCCTGTAAGAGTGTCCCACAAGAGCGTCCTA